ATAAAGTTCAGGATTCCACCCATGTGTCTGTAATCTGAAAGGTTCTATGCACCAATCAATCATAGTTTGCAAAGCATTCAGTATGCTTGATGACTATGGCACAGGTTGTCAAAATGTCAGTCACTGTTAGCAACAGTCCTATTCAGGACTACATTCACCTGGATGATCATGCTTGACCTACTCATGAAATGACTCCTGTGTCCAAATCTGTCAACGTGATCACTAGTTTCTTCTCAAACTAACCTACTGATCTTGCATTTTCAGATTCTACAATAGTCACTTTGATGACCTCTACCAAGTAGGAGGCAATTTCTCAAAGGAGAATGATATAGTTTATCTTTTAAATGACTTTACAAAGGTATGTGTTTAATTTTCATATTAAAAATACAGTCCACCCTTTCTGAATGGTCAGTTCTGTAAGAGTACACCTCCCAAAAATGTTTTGTGGAGGTGTTCCTTGCCTCTCTTCTGTAACTTTGCCTGCTTTATGTTAACCCTAAACACAGATATTTTTCTTACAAGTATGTTATGAAGTAGACTACGAGCAGTCTTTCTTTTTTCTTGGTCCGTCGAGCAAAACACCCGAGACATTCAAATGACCACGCACGTGACTGGAGGCGCGAGATGGGAGAGGCACTCGTTTCTCATGTCTCGCGGCTTCGCTGCTCAACACTCACGTGCAGGTGCACTCCCCTTACTAAATCTGAAGGAAAAGAGAGGCTCCTCGTAGCTTAGTTATGAAGCTGAGATTTTGTTAGCCTGAGAAAACAGCTGACATCTTATGATGTCACCACAGGTTTCCCTGTGAAATGATGTTTGAGGAATGACAGTTCTGTCATTAAGTTTTTAAGCAGCTGTAGCAAATGAAGATTCAACTGTAACATAATACAAAAATTTATAGTGCCACCTTTAGCTTCCTACTTTGATCACCTGTAACATCAAGGTGAGCTCAGCTGTACTCGGGTTTATGGGTTACGGCCCTTAATGACAGCTCTGAATGAGTACTGATGACGTGTCACTACCCAGATCTGAGAAGTGCTTCAGATAGAGTGAAACATTTTCAACCAGCCAAATCCAACCAAGGAATTAATTTCTTTGCTATAATTAAAAGCCGCTTGCCAGAAACTGAAAACAGAATCGAAAATCTTGAAAACAAAATAAGCTTTTTCGGAGAGGTGTCACTGAAACACCAACACTACAGTTGGTAGTATTTAACAATTTTCCAAGAGTGCGCCTTAGATATGAGATGGTAGATAGCCAACAAGGCGCTTAAGTTTGAGCAGATGGGCACAGTTACCATATTTGGAGATCATGGTATAATGGCTCATATACCATGATGGCTAAGCCAATCAGAGCTCTAGAATTGCAATATCCAATGATTCAGTCTTTGAACAGAATTATTTTACAAATGGGTTCATGGCCATGGCCAACCAGTTGTAACTAATGGTAAGAGTTTCAACTCGTGGGTGAAACCAAAGGCCTTGACTTGGATGTCTTTCATTGTAGAAACTTGCAAAGATTGCTGCAACACTACCCCTCGCCTAAGCCAACACCTACATTCACTTAGGGCAAAATATTGACTTAAGGGAGGGGTAGGTTGGCAGTTTCCCAGAAATGTATAATGATCCTTACCAGCTGGGGTTTATTTCGTCTGCAATTCACGCCCACTTTTTTTCAACTTTGACTGAAATTTCTATTGGCAAATACAACTTGTTTTTTCAGGTAAAGGATCTGCTTAATGCTTTTGAAAATGCTGGAAGGTTATATGGTTTGAATGTCAGTGAACCTGATACTACACAGCCTTTGCCACCTGCATCATTTCAAAGATTCTTGAGATCTGATAAGAAGATTCCTGGGGTTGTACTTACAGATCATAAAGAGCACTATTCAAACAAGTAAGAAACATTTGTGTCACGCAAACTCAGTGGTGGATCCAAGGGAGGGGCCCAGGGGGTCCGGCCTTCCCCAGTTATTTTTAGACCAAACTGAGGCCTAAATGGCCAAAAAATATTTTTTTGGAGACCACCCTCCCCCCCCCTCCCTTATCTCAAGGTCTGGATCCAACACTGGTAGTGCCCCAGTATCCCTGGGCGTGATGTTTTTTTTCATTTTTCGTATCAAATCATTTAATGCTTTCTGTATATTTTTAAGGCTTGGAAATTCAGCACGAGATTTTTGAGGGGTTAGTTTTGGTCCAGGGATTGTTTTGGGTTTTGTTGGAAGCCCTAAGAACTTTTTTGGGGTTTTGAGTTCTGTCCCTATTTGATCATCCCTGTCACTTAAAATCCGGAGTACGCCCATGGGATTAAATGTCTGCGCTTGTTCTGGGTAACCAGTGGTAGCGTCACAAAATGTCAGCTGTTATCTACACACATTATATTCTCCTGACTGATCTCCATAAATTTCCTTGAAGAATAACAGTCAAACCCTGTTATTACGGAAGGGACCAGAGAAAGCGTCCAAATTAAGTGGGTTGTGCTGTTAAAATAAAATACCTCTTTAACTAGAACAAAAAACCAAAGAATTCAGATAAAGAAGGACATAAGCGTCGTCAAATTAAACTTCTCTGACCTTCATAAAGCCACCACTATAATGTTTTTATTTATAATAATCATAAAGTTCAGGATTCCACCCATGTGTCTGTAATCTGAAAGGTTCTATGCACCAATCAATCATAGTTTGCAAAGCATTCAGTATGCTTGATGACTATGGCACAGGTTGTCAAAATGTCAGTCACTGTTAGCAACAGTCCTATTCAGGACTACATTCACCTGGATGATCATGCTTGACCTACTCATGAAATGACTCCTGTGTCCAAATCTGTCAACGTGATCACTAGTTTCTTCTCAAACTAACCTACTGATCTTGCATTTTCAGATTCTACAATAGTCACTTTGATGACCTCTACCAAGTAGGAGGCAATTTCTCAAAGGAGAATGATATAGTTTATCTTTTAAATGACTTTACAAAGGTATGTGTTTAATTTTCATATTAAAAATACAGTCCACCCTTTCTGAATGGTCAGTTCTGTAAGAGTACACCTCCCAAAAATGTTTTGTGGAGGTGTTCCTTGCCTCTCTTCTGTAACTTTGCCTGCTTTATGTTAACCCTAAACACAGATATTTTTCTTACAAGTATGTTATGAAGTAGACTACGAGCAGTCTTTCTTTTTTCTTGGTCCGTCGAGCAAAACACCCGAGACATTCAAATGACCACGCACGTGACTGGAGGCGCGAGATGGGAGAGGCACTCGTTTCTCATGTCTCGCGGCTTCGCTGCTCAACACTCACGTGCAGGTGCACTCCCCTTACTAAATCTGAAGGAAAAGAGAGGCTCCTCGTAGCTTAGTTATGAAGCTGAGATTTTGTTAGCCTGAGAAAACAGCTGACATCTTATGATGTCACCACAGGTTTCCCTGTGAAATGATGTTTGAGGAATGACAGTTCTGTCATTAAGTTTTTAAGCAGCTGTAGCAAATGAAGATTCAACTGTAACATAATACAAAAATTTATAGTGCCACCTTTAGCTTCCTACTTTGATCACCTGTAACATCAAGGTGAGCTCAGCTGTACTCGGGTTTATGGGTTACGGCCCTTAATGACAGCTCTGAATGAGTACTGATGACGTGTCACTACCCAGATCTGAGAAGTGCTTCAGATAGAGTGAAACATTTTCAACCAGCCAAATCCAACCAAGGAATTAATTTCTTTGCTATAATTAAAAGCCGCTTGCCAGAAACTGAAAACAGAATCGAAAATCTTGAAAACAAAATAAGCTTTTTCGGAGAGGTGTCACTGAAACACCAACACTACAGTTGGTAGTATTTAACAATTTTCCAAGAGTGCGCCTTAGATATGAGATGGTAGATAGCCAACAAGGCGCTTAAGTTTGAGCAGATGGGCACAGTTACCATATTTGGAGATCATGGTATAATGGCTCATATACCATGATGGCTAAGCCAATCAGAGCTCTAGAATTGCAATATCCAATGATTCAGTCTTTGAACAGAATTATTTTACAAATGGGTTCATGGCCATGGCCAACCAGTTGTAACTAATGGTAAGAGTTTCAACTCGTGGGTGAAACCAAAGGCCTTGACTTGGATGTCTTTCATTGTAGAAACTTGCAAAGATTGCTGCAACATTAGCCAGAACTCTGTATATTTTGGCAAATGATAGTCAACCTCCTGAATATGAAATTAATGCAGACAATGATACAGAAGCTGTGGTAAGTGTCTTGTTAGTTTACTAAGATGCAGTTTCACCAAGATTCTCTGCTTCTTGAAAATAAAACCGAACTTACCATAAGCGACCACACAACATGCAAAGATTCAGGGGCAGATTATAGGAGGTGATCACTTATAAGAATAATCCAGGGCCAAGTTGTTTGAACACCGGTAAGAGCTAACCCGGGGTCAAAATTTTAACCTGCGTTTCTTTTTCTTTTTATCAAAAGCACTCTCTCTGATAATTTTCTCTATTCTTTTTAAGGTATCCACTCATCAAATTGTAGGGAAAGAGAATTATACTTTTTAGCTCTCATATCTGAGTTCAAATTTCGCACTAACCCTGGGTCATCTTAACCCAGCTTTGCACAACCCAGCCCATATCCATGTCCGTTAATATGTACCTACCTTTTGAAAAAGAATTTTATTGCATACAATTTCCAAGTTACAAAATGTGTTGCTCCATATTGCCACTAAATGTTCTTCAGGTACTCGGAGGAGGGTGTCAGATACAGTGAACATGGAGATCAGACTATTATATCAAGTGATGGCTTATAGGAAGAAAAACAGTGGAAAAACTATTAAACAGACACCTCAAAATTAATTGGCCACTCCAGAAAATACCATAACATACCATAATACTCTTTTTCGTCACCCCAAAATTTTCCATAAGAATTGTCTTTGGTTTCTTTTGGGAGTTAAAATGGCCCCAATGAAACTTTTGGGGTGACAAACAAAGGGCATTATGGTATGTTATGGTATTTTCTGGAGGGGTCAATATATTGCAGTCTCTTACGAGAGATGGTTGCTTTTGAAGGGTGGTTGCACATGGAGGTTCAAGTAATATATCAAGATTCATCCACCTGACCCAAATGGTCGTCAGTTATTGGCTTTTTGACTGCATGAAAAATTAATGAATTTTAGATCCATACATTATAAACATGAGTGTATTTAGAGGAGGTCAGTGTTGTGTGAAGGGTCTTTGAATAAAGGCCACAGTGTTTCATCCAATATACTAGACTCTTCTCTGTTGAGTGAGTAACTTTGAGGTATCTGAATATTGAATACACACTGTCTTCCTCAATTCTCAGATATTGTTGTAGAGAAATGCTGCAGAATTTTATCTAATATCCAATTCTTCTTTATACTCTCTTTATTCTCCATGGATTTCTCTGTAATCTGTCAGCACCCATGGTATTGAAGGTTTACTTGACTTCAGTGACCGAGGTTAAATGTTTTTTTGTCCACACAGATTGGTCATCTTGCTTACTGCTTCTTTGTTCGCGCCAACTGCCCTCTTTACAGAGAGGTCTTTTCCAGCAAGTCGTGGAATTCCTTGAAGGACTGTAAGTACATAGTTCTTATGTTTGATAATAATTGTTTCTTTTGTTCACTTGTGGAATCTCAATTTGCTGCTGTTGAGATCAAATAAAATTTGAGAAGAAATTTGAGGTTGATGAGATGGTCAGAAATATCAACAAGACTGCAAATTAAAGGGGCTGTGTCATGTCAGTCCAGTTCATTTTGTTTAATTTTGCCAATTACTCACCCTCAATCGCTATGGAACTTAAAGTAAGCAAAGAAATTACATGTAAATGACAAAATCAGAGATCCGAGACAAACAAATATGTCCCCTGAGCATTATTTTTGAAGTTGCAAGCAGCAGGGATCCACTTTGAAAAAGTGTTAGGCTGAACAGTTTTCAAAAACCCTAATTTCAATCCGTTTCAATCTTCTTCAGTTTTGCCCATCCGTGGCATCTGTTGTTTCTGTTATGTTATTTTAAACTTCCTTTAAAGTTTTAAGCGGTTTTTTTTTCATGTGTCTCTTAAATTAGTGGGCATTTTGTAATTTCCTAATTTGGCTGAATTTCTTGACACAGCTTCTTTAAAGGGGCTAAGTCACACTATTTGTTATCTTTTTTCCCATCAATTGAATTCCAAAAAAATTGGTACGGTATTCTTATTTAACCCTTTCAATACCAGAGTGTTTGAGGGGGTTTGTAGGGTGACTTTAACTTTTGAGTCTACGGACGAAATCCTATGATGTGACCATTCAGATGAAAGCTCTCTGCCTGTACTTACAGATGATGCCATTTGTTTCTCAGAATTTTAGAAAATGAGATTTGGAACTTTGGTCGAAATTTGCCTTTGGCCACATGTGGCAGTGAAAGGGTTAATGCCATATTTAGGTATTAAAACGTTTTCTTGGGGGCTGTTGCTACTGATGGCAAGGATGGACATCGATTAAAACTTTAAAAAGTTGGGGCAACTTTTTCAAGTTTGAAAACTATGCCTGCAAAAATGACCGCAACACTGCTATGGTTAGTTCTCCTTGTAACCTGCGTATCAAGCGCAAAAAGAGGAGGGGGATTGGGGAGGGAGAAAAGTGCGAAAGAAGGAAAAAGGGAAGGGAAGTTACTAAATGATTGGAGAAATTTTGATCTTCCAAAGCTTATGCCAGTAGAACACATTTCCTTGATGCCTTCATCATGTTTGTCTCTCACTAATACACACCAGGATGCACGCCAATAAGTTACTCATCATGGCTCAGTCAATCAGGAATTTGCATCCGCAGCAATGAACAAAAGGGGCTTCTTATAGCAGGCGTTCCTTACCATCTCTCCCCAATCCCCCTCTTTTATGCCTTCCTCCCTATCCCCTATCCCTTTCGATGCCTACTACGCAGGCTTTGCTTCCTGGTGAAATTTGTTTGATATGTTATTGAGAACTCTACAACAGCATTTTGTGCATGGGTTAAGGCACTGATGAATGACTCAGCACAGAGTTGACCTAAGCCATTAAGGGGTAATTTTTAGTTCTATCCAGTCAAGAGTGTTTTGATGCAGCAAAAACAATCCACTAAGGTTGTGGACTATGATCAAATCCTTGAAGGAGGCCATCACTCAAAGTGAGGCAAAATAGATACCAGTTCCCTGCCAAGAGAAAGCAAAGCCCCTAACAAAATTGTACGGAGGCAGGAAAAGTGATCTCGAAAACGGAGAAAAGTTTCAACAAGACATTAATTTAGTGAACTATTAGACCCACAAGTGTATCTTCACAGCTAAATAAATACAGCATGTTCAGATTTAAAGAAATCACTGACTGTTGTGTTTTCCCTTACAGATACGGAGCCATTTCCACGCTATGTCAGTGTTAATAGCACTGGCAACACATTTACTTCGGCAATTTATTACCTTCTTCTGTATTTCACTGGTGACCGGTCGCCTTTTAAGAGTGGAAAATGTTCTGGAAGTGTAGATGAGGTGGGTTATAGTTAGACTCTAAATCAGTATCTTGTTTTCTCCAGATCGCAAGGTGCAAGATTGTCTATCTTCCCACATAGGCGGCGGAGAAGGGGAAGCAGGACACAAAAATTTGGGGGGGGGGGAGCTCTGCCAAACAATCCCCCCCCCCCAAGAACTACCCAAGAAGCACCATGAAGAAGGATCGCCTGAACAACTGCTTATAGACACACTAGACACTGTGAAGATTGCAAAGAGATCTGCTTGTGGCAACGAACAACGCAAAGGGCATTTTGGAAAATTTGTGTTTCAAAACGCTCCGCCGCCTCTGCGGACCCACAGATAATTCCAACAGTTCAGATTGCTTCTGCATCTAGGTTTCGTTTTTGATTGTGCAACTGATGCAAGCTTTTGTCTTTTAGCAATCCTTTATCCTCTCTTGTTCTATGTCTTTTCTCCTCCTCATCATCCCTGCTATCCTGCTTTAGAAATACCCTACCCCCCTCCTCCCCACCCCCCCTCCCCTCTGCCGTGATTAGATGATAACAAAAAGTATGTAGAAACAAGGATACTTTTTCGCTTCAGGGGTTTTGATTGGATAATTTTTGCTCTCCTGATATAGTTATTGTTTTATTTGCCAATGCCTTGAGCACTTTCTCTCTCCTTTTTAGGGCATCGTTAATGCTTCCATGCAAGGAAAAGATTTTAAGAGCTCAGGCCTTTGTGTGACTGGTGCAGTTTATCTGTCACCAGCCGTGTCTCCAGCATTTGTTTTAGAGAAATATGACTCTACTGAGTACTCTACATGGGCTGAAAGCACGTAAGTCTTAACATCCACAAACAAATTCTCCAGACTTAACTCTATACACTGTCTTAGTGAATAAGTTGGGAGAATTTGATAAATGATCAAGGCGTATCCTCTTTTGTGATCATTTAATCAGGTTTCATAACCTTTCCCTTGAGTATGCACTGATGTTAAAGGTTTAAATGCTGCCTAATTAAGATAATTGTGCAAACTAAGATAATTTCATTCACAGGATCAAAAGTCTTGTGCAGCATATTTAACAGCATCACGGTTAAGTACTGCTCTGTACCACTCATTTTCTACCTTTACCGCTCATTTTTTGCAATCTCCTGAATTTTCCTATCCTCAAAGTGAAATCTTATGGCGTGACCATTCAAATGAAAGCTGTCTAAGCCAGTGGCACTGTTTATTATGCGGTACAAGTTGGTTCTGACTTTTGAGACTGTGGATGAAATCCTGAAGTGTGACCATTCAATTAAAAGCTACATAGTAGTACTTTCCTGTGGATCTGTTTGTTTTTCTGTACAGTGGCTATTAGCAACATTAATATTATCATCCAGTCGAAGAAAATTTGGCTATCAGTGCATCCAATAAATTTTTGTTCTGACAAAATCGTTCATACGTATGTCCGTACGTTCGCATGTACGTATGCCCTTCATGATAGCAGATGTAGAATTTCTTATTTACTAGCGTAAAAATTCAAGGCATATGCAAATTGTGTCTAACTTGATATTGGACATACATGTTTTAATCAATTAATAGCTGTAAAAACTGGGTATCCGCTGACCAGTGTCACATGACTGTATCACAGGCTGAGACATACAACCTATTATTTGATGATATGTTTTTTTTATTATATAGACACGAGTGTTTTATTGCAAAATATACCAAAAAAAATATACCAAAAAATCATAAAAACTACATCCGGGATCCGAGTGGTTTATTTTCCATAATCTCACACGTGAGTTTATCGATGACGTAATTTCGGTCATTTCCCTCTATCATTTTATCGATGTCTTTTTGTCTATATAATAAAAAGAACATTACACGGCGGCTTGAAGATATGAATTTTATTTTCGAGTGGCAAAAACAATATTTTACTCACTCGCTGCGCTCGTTCATAAAATATTGTTTTGCCACTCGAAAATAAAATTCATATCTTCGCACCACCGTGTAATATCCTCTATTTAAAGTTCTCCAATGACCAGTTATGGTGCTCAAGTGATTGCAGGCTAAAGAGAAGGGACGTTTCGCAAAAGTTCCCATAAGTGCTTCACTTTTGGTCTAAATCTATTTATTATTCCAACTGGCTGTTTGTTACTGAACCCCAACAAAATATTGCAGGCAGCCCTGTCATGTTCAAGTAGGGGTACTAAGGGGCCCAACTACTTTATCTGCATTCAGTCGATAGACTCGATACAGTCAATGCAAAGGTGGCTGAACACAGTTTTGTGGGCGGTCAGCGGTAACTCGCGTGATGGCGCGTGTTTTAAATTAGACAAGCAAACATGGCGGGGAAAAAAGCACTGGTACACAGAAGACGATTTTTTAAAATCTACTCATTAAAATTTTGTGATGTTTGGCAGAATTTTTACTTTTATTGTATTTTAAATAATGAGAACTTTAAAACGGAAGTTGAACAAACGAATTTTGTGACACATTTAATAATTACAGAACAATTATATTATTGATTATCTAAAAACCCGTCTATTAAAATGTGGTCAAATAAGTTTCAAATGGTGATGATTAATTATAGTAAGCTGTGTGCAAGTTTATAGCAAAATCTAATGAGCGATTTTTATGTAAACTGAGCAAAAGTGAAATTTTAAGTTTGTATTCAATCGCTTATATTACCATGGAAAATACGAAAACGTCACATTTTACCTGTCAATCAAAATCTTTCACAGTATATTTTTCACTTGCCAAGTTTCAGCTTGTGAGCTGCAACCGTTCTCTTGCCATGATACTCACAAACTGCCAAAACTGTGTTCAGCCACCTTAAATTTAAGCTCTAGAAATCAGAGCAGATTTGGACCTCCTCTCTCTTTTGATTCCTAAGATGGTTCTAAAAGTGTAATGAGTCAAGAAAAATTTATCTGATCAAGTGATAATTTGTATACTGTTGATCATTAATTTTGCACCATTGTTTGAAAGGAGTGTTTTATAATTTTTTTTAATCTCCTTTTCTTGTTTACTCAGCTGGGGAGACGATCTTACAGTAAGACTCTTCCTTGTGGGAAGTCCTCAACTTGAGGTAATATAAATTTGAAGGGGCATTTGACACCAAGAATTCCCTACTAGCAGAGGTTTTCCCTGGTATTCGGTGGAATACGAAAGGAAAATAGACCCCCTTCTCCTCTTGGCATTCCCACCTGTTTTTATTTGCTCATTTTCTATTTTAAGAAATTCTCAACTTGAATCTGACGTTTGCTGTTTGCCGTACACGTGAAGCTTAAACTCTTTAATGTTGGAAGTTGTTGCGTCCCTTTGCACGTAGCTTAGAAAGGAATAGTTTCTGCCTTAAGCATTTCCTCATGTTAAATTTATTGTAATAATTTTTGAATCTGTCAATTTTCTCACTGCCTTTCTTGTTTTCAGGGTGCAACCCTTGCTGCAGGATTGATCATCACCTTATTTTCATTTGGACTTGTGTACTTGATCAACAAAAAGGCCAGTGTGCTTTTCACTCCAAATAGCCCCCTTGACGCAGACGTGGATAGCTGAATCACTGACTATGTTTTAATTCTCATAACTGTGTCATTATAAAGCCAACACACAAGAAATTAGAAGTGCTGTACCATCTTGATATAATTCGCGAAGATAAAAACAATAAACCCCAGGGTTTATATTGGAGGTAGAGATGAACCCCTGCGAAGTGACACCTCTCTTAACCATTTTAATCCAAAACGTGTTCAGTGGAAAAATTCAACAAAATTACTAAAAACTACTTAAAAAATCAGTAGCAGCATGTGAATGTACCGTCTTAGAGGTTCCATTTGAATGTTCACACCATAGGGTTTGGTGTACGGACTCTAAAGTTAGAACATCGTACTAAACAAATAGTACCATGTGAAAGTACTGCTGAAAAGGTTTCATTGACAGACTCAAAATAGTAAATAGTACCATTTGAAGTATTAACAAGATATTTCATTTGAATAGTAACACCATACGATTTCATCCACAGACTCAAACATACTAAATAAATAGTACCATGTGAGAGAACTGTTGAAGAGTTTTCATTTGAATGGTAACACCATGGGATTTTGTCCACTGACTCAAAAGTTAAAACTACATACTAAATAAATAGTACCATGTGAAAGTACTGCTGAAGAGGTTTCATTTGAATGGTGACACCATAGGAGTTCATCCAGAGAGTCAAAAGTTAGAATGACGTACTAAATAAATAACACCATGTGAAAGTTCTTGCTAAAAGAAGTTTCAATTGAATGGTAACAACATAGGATTTTGACCAAACACCCAAAAGTAAGAACTTCCTAGCAAGACTCCATTAATCACGTTAGGAGCAAGCGACTTAGGTGGAGACCTCCCAAATTCTGACGGAAACGTACTTTGTGGAAATTTCACCACTAAACCTTTGTATTTTTAACCTGCGGTGAGTAGCCTTAAGACCTTGGGGGGGGGGGGGAGGGGGTCAGACAAAGGGCATGTTTTCATGGAGTTGGGAGACCCCAGGTGAATGAGGTAAGACGCTTAGGTGGGGTAACCCGCCTGTCCATATAATTTCTTATATTGCAGCCCCATGGACTGGCAGGTTACCCCTTCTAAGCAGGTTACCTCACCTTCCTGGGATCCCCCACCTCCATGTAAACAGGTCGTGAAGGCGACAAGGAAGCAGACCTGGGTATTATTTCCAATACATTTTGTTACTAAAAGGATATTTGTTATTTAACGCGTAAAACTAAAGAAAGCGAAGGATGAGATGCCTGCTATTTTGTTGTACCAAAAGAAGCAATTCACAATAAAATGATATATTTAAAGTGCCATTTGTTTTTTTTTTTTCGTAGTAGCTAAGCCTTACTTCTCGTTAATCTGGAATTTTACGGATCTCCACAGGTCCACACTTGACGTCCACTGGACCTGTAGCCACAGGTAGCCCAAACACCTAACATTAAATTGTAAGGGTTTGTATGGGGATTCTGGTCATTACTATTTTGGAGTCAAAACATTATATATCAGCAGAATGTAAAAAAGGGGCCCAATAGAGCTGACAGGGTTTCTTTTCATGTCTCCATGTTTTATTTACTGTTGCAGGTGGCTTACTTTTTAAGGAATCTTGTATTCTGTTTTAAGCCTACCTCAGATTATTAGTATTTAGTATTTTACTAATATTGTGATTTGAAACTTGATCAAAGTTTTGAAGTTATGATGACCGTACCTGCAGAACATCCCCAACATTATGAAACCTGTCACACTCCTATTTTATTTGTTTTTGTGGACCTGACGGTGCAGAGCGTTCAATAGCATTCCTAACATTTTGACCTTGTTGACCAATAAAAAAGTTCCATTAATTTATTCCGTCGCAATTTGCCAACGGAAAACAAAGGATTGTGCACCATCAGAGCGCTTTCAACACAATTTACAGTACTGTTGTTTTAATATTTGATGTTGGTTGCGTTTCATAACCAGTCTCCTCTAATAACTATGATTTGAGGTCGCTTCAACGCGATTCATTCCAGGAAGCTTTAGTTGTGCCCTTTTTCTCACGTCGTATGTTTTTCTACTCTTTGTACATCAACGTCTGTAATATGTAAAGATCGCACTACTAAATGTTGCTCAATTCGCTATGAAATGCCTTCAAATTCCAGGAACACCCATGGTGTCTTAAATCTAAACATTTTTCTACCTTTGATCATGGTAAAAGTAACTATTGTTTGACGGTTCGGAGCTATGACAAAGGCGACTAGACCATTCACTGTTATTTCGGTTATGTCTGGTGGCCGTCTTTTCTTTTCCCAAGGGGTTAACGTTTTAGTCAAGGTAAAGAAATCTCAATTTTCGTCTCCGTTTTTTCTTTAGCCTAAGGCCCCCAGACCATAGAATAACGCCATCTTAGAATTTTTTCTAACGAGATACCTAGATAATGATTCTCGGGAAAAAATACAAAATTTTCTCATAATTTCTATTCATCCAAAAAAGGACGTTTGCTGGTTTAACCTATTTACAAAATGCCACTTTTACGAATAAATTGAAAAGTCATTTTTATTATCTAGAAAGCCTTAATTTTATCTAGAGCAACGTTAAACAATATACCAAGGTCTATTTAAAAGAAGCACAAACTTGGAAGAAATTTGAAATTTTTACCAGAATCAAAAATTACAAATTTTAGGACTATGTTAAAAACTATTTTTATAGTCTAGAACACATTGTCATCATCAAATAATATATCAAACCCTTTTTTAAAAGAAAAACAAACCTGGAAGAAATTTCAATTTTTTTACCAAAAGCATGGGTTAATCACGTTCCGAAAATACAAATTTTTCGACTGTGTTAAAAAGTTTTTTTATAGTCCAGAAAGCCTTGTTTTCTATCTAGAACATCGTCAAACATACTAGGCCCATTTTAAAGGGAAAAACTTGTAAGAAATTTCAAATTTTACCCCAAAAGCATGGGTTAACCCCTTTGCGGAAATGCAGATTTTCCGACTTTGTTAAAAAGTTATTTTTATAGTCTAGAACACCTGGTTTTCTATCTAGACTATAATCAAATAATATATCTAGCCCTTTTTTGGAGAAAAACAAACTTGGAAGAAATTTCAAATTTTACACCAAAAGCATGGGTTAACCCCTTTGCGAAAACACAAATTTTTCGACTATGTTAAAAAGTTATTTTTATAGTATAGAAAGCCTTGTTTTTTATCTAGAATATCATCAAACAATATATCTAGGCCTAATTTAGAGAATAATAAACTTGGAAGAAATTTTAAATTTTTGACCAAAATCATGGGCAACCCCTTTGCGAAAAGACAAATTTTGGACCCTGTTAAAAAGTTATTTTTATCATATTGAAAGCCTTGTTTTCACACTAGAACATCATCAAACATTATACCTAGGCCCCTTAACGTTATTTTCTACACTCTATTCTTACTTATAGAAAAGACAAATTTTGGACCCTGTTAAAAAGTTATTTTTATCATATTGAAAGCCTTGTTTTCAAACTAGAACATCATCAAACATTATACCTAGGCCCATTATAGTTATTTTCTAAACTCTTTTCTTACTTATAGGCTGTTTAGTGTTTTAGGGTGCAGTGAATTCAAGTTTCATGTTACTGTTAAAAAGCTGTTATATAGCTTTGCATTTAGAATAAGTAACCCACAGGTAATGTATCACTTGTTACTGTGTGTATTCCTTTTCACTGAAACATGCGGTACGGTTCATTAGATTGCATCCAAAAACTGTTACTGGTTAGGAATGTTGATTTAGTTTCGTCTTTACCCCGCAACAAGCAACCTCGTTACCAGGTTTCTCTTCTGCTTCTCCGGAGCGGGGAGGGAGAGGGGAGAGAGTGGGGGGGGGGGGAAGAGGGAGAGAGGGAAGAGAGGGAACAATAGGAACGAGGTTGGACAGTCAAACGAATAAAATTCTATTTTTTTACTTTAATTGACGCCCCAAAGACACTGCGATTGGCCAGAAAAACCCGCGTTACTTTGGTGCACAATCGGGATTTGCCAGCTTTTACACGCGTTTTTCCGCGCTGTATGTATGTGATGTGAATTTCGATTGCTTCCTTAGATCGTTTAGAATCGTTGTGATTGTTGGATGGAAATGGATTGTTGGATTGTTGGATGGAAATAACCGTCTGTTTTTTTTAATGGGAATTAGCATTGGTTGAACAGCGACGCGAGTAAAACTCATTGAACGTTACGGCTTGCTGTTTAATCGCCTCTCCGGAAAAACAAAAAGTTGCAATGTTTTCTAATGTGGTAACTTAAAATTCGCTCGATTGTTCATAGTTGTGCTGTTTTTCATAAAGCCAACCTTAAGACATATATTGGTCTGACTACTACCTTGTACATTTAATTCTAATTCTATCCATGCATGTCTCGAGACACTTCGATGCCTTGCGCTGTCAAACATGAACTCTATTGTCGTAACACAGCCCCATTACTTTGGACAGGGGATTATAACACAAGAGCTACCACGTTAAAAGATCTTAAAATAGTTACACGAAATTAGATAAATACAAATCCTTTATTGCTTATTAATTAAATGAAAATGCTTTCTCAATATTTGCCTGTTTATGAGAAAATAAAACTAAAGTCAAACAATGGTTTCTTAATCTACACCCTCTCCAGATCTTAGCTCCTTGTATTGCGGGCTCAGCCTCACGGTGCCAGGCTACAGTAATGGTAGAGAGGAGAGAAAAACCCCTCAATATTTTTCAGAAAGTGACGATAAGGAAAAGGAGATTCGCAAACATATTAGAGAAAAGCTTATTAGAGAAACTGAGCTTTTTTTACATCTTGTCCTCATGAAACCACGGCCGGGGTTGGGTAGGGGAAATTCTCCTAACTCAATATGTCGCTTTGTCCTCTTTTTACACCTGGTTGTCAAACCTTTAGGGATGAACGTCATTATATTGTCCTTAATTTTTATTCAAAAATCACGCCCCTGTGTCCTTCATACAAATCAAAAACAATGACAATCTCATTCCGGTGATTACCATAATCGGAATCCCATTCACAGTCCTCACATTCGAAATCA